CTAGGCTACGTAGTTAACCCAGGGTCGAGCACAACACTAAATTTATATTAGTGATGTCGCGTTAGATACCTTATCCTGCTACTGTGCCCGAGATCCCGCGATAATGGCATCAGTTAATTTGTTAAAGGTTTTTTAATGCCTCTTATATTATAAACTTTTTTATTTTAACACATGCAAACGAAAACGATTCTAAGAATTTAGTCAACTAAAATTAAAAAAAATAATATAAAAAAAATAAAGTTCATGGTACAGAGGCGATTAATCATATTTTAAAATGAACAATTTACTCTATATTTTTAATCTATAAATACGTCACATCTTTTAAAAACTCAATATATTTGTTATAGAATATCTAAAACGTTTATAATACTAATGTACACTATATCTATACTACTATTATAAGGAGGTAAAGTTTGCGATTTGTGAGTTTGTGACGTTGTAGGGGGTAATCTCTGGATCTACTGAACCTATTTAGATGAAATTTGGTAAGAAGATAGTTTGAGACCCTGGGGAGGATATAGGATACTTTTATCTCGGAAATCATCCCTTAAGGTTGTGAAAATGGGGATGAAATTTTGAATTGGGAAGCAAGCTAGGGATGAATCCGAGCGAATCGAGGGTGAGTCGCTAGTAATATTATAACAACTGAAAAAAATACATAATAATATATTTATATATGACACAACGTATAAGAATGCATAATTATCATACTACATCTGCCTTAATGAAACTAAAAGTGGAACTAAATATGCAAAACGTCTCTTTATCTAATTTATAACAAGTCAATTCAAGAAATATTTTCTTACAACATATGTATTTTTAAGTGACTCTATCAAGTGACCTATGACATAAGACTACTAGAAAACTAAGTGCATGTGACAGTTACAAATGATGTCAAAATTATATATTTTATTTATATAAATATGTTCAGAAGTGAATATTTCATCACTCTACATTTTTAAGTTATGAGTTTTAAGTGTGCCTGCTCTTTGCGTTATACCCGGATAACCAGCTATCATCATACCAAATTTTATCAAAGTGTGTCCAGTGGTTTTCTCGTGATGCGTTCCCAGACAGACAGACAAAAATTCTATAAGCTATAGATTCGGCCTCTGTATCGAAAATAATATCTATTTTAATAACATTTTCCACAAAACCCACCAATCACTATACCAATCTAATATAACATAACCTATATGACAGACTTTTTGCTTTTTAATAGAGACGTAAACAGTGACTAATTTGACCATTTGTATTTTTCCTATTTTGATCGTGAATTTACATATTTATGTTTTCAAAGGCTATTAGCCGATCATTAGGAACTTGAGATTTTTTTTTCTCTATATATCACTTTCTAAAATCTAGTTTCACAATAAAACGACAAAGTAGTGACACAAAAATCCATAATATATAAAAAATTGCTATCTATACTAATATTATAAAGAGGCAGTGTTTGTTTGTTTGTATGTTTGTTTAAACGCGCTCATCTCAAGAACTACTAATCGAATTAGAAAAATTCTTTGTGCATTAGATAGTCCGTTTATTGAAAAAGGCTATAGGCTATTATATCCATCATGCTACTACGTAAGGGAGCGGAACAGTAATCATAAATATCAACATTATTGTAAAACAGATATTTATAATTAAACAAATTTAACAGAGGTAAACCCATTGGGCACAGCCAGTCTATTATATTTAAAACCCGTTAACCTACAAACGTATCCCATCAACAGATCCCATACTTTTTTCCCTTATACTTTTTTGCTACATTCGTACATAACTTGACTAGAGTCAACAGTTGTACAAATAAAAGAATGCCATTGTAATTCAAAACATTTATTATAATACAAAAAAATAAAGTTTTCTTCTAATTTATACGCAAAAGCATGTACACTTTTTAAGAGTTGAATAGATAATATCAATTAGTGGCACCTCGTGATTTGCTCTGCGGCGCGATATGCCCCGCAAGGACGGAACGCACCGTGTACCCCTATCGCGCCCCGATCGGTTAAAACCAAACGCTACAATAACGTGCGACTTTACAATATAAAATAATATATTTATTCTTAGTAATAGTATAATATTCTTCCCACCAGAGTATGAGAGTGACAAGAATAGAGAGTGCACTTGTGTCTGAGCGTACACTTACGCACTATAATATCTCCTGCGCAGTTGGCTAGTCTCAATGAGATAGGCCGCCGTGGCCGGAATCAGTCAGGAGAATATCATCATAATATTCTTACTATATCTATACTAATAAATATAGTAAATACTAAAGAGTTTGTTTGTCTGTTCGAATGCGCTTATCTCTGAAACTACCAGTCATATATTATATAACCTATTGTATTGAGGAAGGTTATAGATTAGATATAAATAAACAAAGCGAGCGGAACCACGGGCAATATTAGTATATTTTTTTAAATTGAAAGTACATCTGTCTGTATATGTATGTAATATGTATACAGATTTACAGTTAAACTGCAGGAAGTCTATTTATAATTCCGGTACAAAAAATCTGTGCAAAATACAAAAAGTATATGTACTATAATTAAAAACATCTTTATTTAAATTTTTGTTAACAAAACGATTTCCTGTATTCCACGATTTGACCTCATTTAAAACAATATTCGTTTATCGCTATGAAATACTAATAAAAATTAATTTAAACGATCCCAATTCGATCCATATAATAATTTAGTAACGCGTTGTAAATAACAATACACAAATGCCCTCGCTTTATAATCTGGTACAGACGTCGTGATCTACATTTATAGATATTGTTATAAATTTTGAAAGTAATGTTAGTGTATATCATTAATATAAACTATTGTTTTGAATGCAGTTACATTTTAATTTAAAGAAACAAAGAAATTTAAATTGATTTTAGAATTGGACTACTTTTATATATGCGAAAGTTTTCATAACTGTCTGTATATTTTTAATTTACGTACTTGTCTGGAAGAATTCGCTTATCTGATATCTAATAAAAATATTTACCCATATGTACGAAAACGGTTGAATGAATTTAAATGAAATTAAATACACCTAGGCACAGGTATAGCCACCTATATAGGGATGTACTTGACTATAATTATTTTTTGTTACTTACTACCAAGCGTTAGTACCCTATATAGTTATATTACCTAAAACCAAACAATGAGCACGTTCTATGAATATGGATGGATCATATTTGAACTAATGACATAGTATATTTACATAGTAAGAAAATCTAAATATCTATTGACTTACAATGAGTCTAACACCAAAAAAAACCTTATAAGATCTTCTAAAAGAAGAATTTTTAATCTATATGTTTTTTTTCTTTACAATACGTTTGTATTCTATGAGTTTTTAAACTATTCATCCCTAGCACCCGAGCGAAATGACGATACGCTGCTATTAACATAATAAATTACAATGATCATATCATTGTCAAATTGTTTCATTCAATAAAAATGCCAAACAGTACTCATTATTTATAATAGAATTAGTAGTTCAGAATAACCGAATCATATTATGATAAATAATAATTAAAAAGTATATAAAAAAACACGCACCATCTTCCGTCGAACAGACCATGGCAGCAAACGTGCGCCCTGTGATTTACAGGCGCGCGCCTCGATCAACGATAAAGTTTTACTTATTGTGCCGGCCGATCGCTCCACCTATACGCCATATCGTATTTATGTCCTGTCACCGCCTTTTATTGCGATTAATATGAAACGCATCTTCCTTTTTTGAGTCCACCTGTTTTTGTTGTACGGACTTTAATATACTACTTACTACAAACAATTTGTTTGTAAATTATTGTGTATGTTAGATCGGATACGTGCGAGTTGTAAAATCATAGTTTTCATCAATTGTAAGATACAATGTTTGTTCAAGATATTTTATCCTTACTATAGACTCTATCGATTAATTCGATAACATAGTGACGGTGTACCTTTTTGCATTTTTGTATCAGTTCGATTACCGGTTCAGGTCACCCCTTTAAAAAAAATAAAATGCAGTTTTTTTTTTTGTAAAGTAATGTTTCCTTTGATTAAATCTTGATAACTTCAATATTTAAGGCACTTTTCTTCCATGTCCCATTCATTTGTTTTATCCTGTACAGGTAAAAGCTAATATGTCACATCACATCATAATATATCCGTCGACTAAATTTCATCTAAATCAATTCAGCCGTTTTAGCGTGAAGAGCTTACAAACAATCACAAAAATATACTCACGCAAATACCTACCAATTATTGCATTTAAAATAGTACCGTGATTCCGCTATAAATATGTTAGTCACACTTTTAATCTTACTTTCATATTTACTTATATGGATGTATTGCTTAGAAAACTGCGATATAATCAATACATACATATAATAAAAATCTGAGTCAAATCTTATTAAAATAGTCATTATTATCGATAAGGCCGAATCATGAACGAATTGTGGTTAATTCGTTCATGGGCCGAATCTATAGTTTTTAGAACATTTGTCTGTCGGTCTGTCTGGGAACGCAACACGAGAAAACTACTAGACAGATTTTAATGAAATTTGGTATAATGACAGCTGGTTATCTGGTACAACATATAGGGTACTTTTTACTGCAGGAAAATATCTCTAAGAAATCTATACTAAACGGACAAACCCGAGCGGAGCGAGGGTGAGTTGCTAGTATCTATGTATAATATATAAGTCACAAAATAGTCCAGTACATTTTCTCCTTTGCTTGTCACCCGAGATTAAAAAGGTTCAGTGTTATATAAAAATTATAATGGTCGAACTTCGCTGGGTGAACATTATTAGTCTTAGGAAAAATCCTTATTACCGAAAAATAAAACTAAATCGTAAAGTTAATATTGTTAAAGTTGAAAATATCGAAGTTTAAAAAAACTACGAATACCGAAAAATTATACCTCAAATAAAGTGCCTCCTTCGTTTAGAGATGGTCATAGATACGTAAAACGAAAGGATACCAAGCAGCCTTACTTACGATTAGTTACAATTAAACAATAAAGCTATTTACGAGCAGATCGGAAGCAGTCTTCAAGGCGAAGACGACCTCGTTGCCTGCCAACAAAGATGTATTGTCGCTGCAACGCTTGGAACAAATCCAATATTGTTGAGAGCCCTGAACAATCGCGACCTCCAAATTCCACATTAGAATAATCCTCACCCTCGAAAGGATACATAATCCTGGAAACGGTTTAATCAAATTTAAACCTAAATATGTTTGCTTAGGGTTCTTTTTCCAATAGTTTTGGAATCTAGGGTGTTTGTCACTAGCTAAGGCCAGGATGGGGCGAATGGTAGCCATTGTCTGTTGACCTCAGCAAAGAAAGGAGCGATGATGAATACTCAAGTCAAGGTTACTATCAGTTCTGTTGTTTACTACACTATCGTAGTAAAGTTTGCGTATCATAATCAATGTCATTTAAAGCGTTAATTGTTATTTCAGTTGTCAAAATTCGACCACAATCATCATTGTTAAATTGAAGGAAAAAATATACGAATATTAGGTACCTATCTATATAAAAAGAAACAAATTGTTTCCAATTTTGTTTTTTTGATTACACTAAAGCTCATCAGTAGCTACTAAATAAAAAAGAAAAGAAAATCGGTTGACAAATAGAGGAGAAAATATTACCAAACTGCTATCATTGCCTGTATACAAATAGATTATTGACGACATGTTTGGCTCAATTTGTAGCGACCCTACTTGCTGTGCCAGTGGTCGCGGGTTCGAATCTCGCTGGAGGCATTCATTTGTGTGATGAGGACGAATGTTTGTACTCCAGTCATGGATGTTTATATTTATAATATGTATATATTTAAAGTTATATATGTGTAGTGTATCAACTATCTGGTATCAATAACACAAGCCTCGTAGCTTACCATGGAACTAGATGGTGTGTTAATGTCCCAAATATATTAAAAAAAAAGAAAAAAAAAGATTATAATGATGTTAATTGTAACTTATTACTTATATTATATTTTTGACTAACATTAAAAAGAAGGAAATACTAAATTAAAGTATATTAACACCTACAGGTAAATTTCTAAGAAATCAATTAAAATTCTAAGAAACCTATTGTTAACTGACTGTGGAGAGATTAAGAGTACTGTAGAAAGAGAAAACCACGGAAGCATTACATTTCCGTGCTAAAACTATTGGATTTCAAGAAAAATATCCACTCTCAAGGAGAAATAATCACTTTAAATGATTTGAAGTTAATAATATCTATCAAAATCAAAAAGTAATTTTAGATAATTAAAAAATACTTTAAGTTCGATTGTTTTTGTTTCAGATTTTGAAAACAAATTTAAATAATAAGCTGGCTCGACAAGCTGATGTTAGGGCGCAACATTTTCTTCTATATTTGTTTTGATTACTTTAGATATTCAGATATACACGTTTTGCCTCAACATAAATCTTCAGAATAAAATATAACATTGAAGTAACTTTCGAGCAATTTTATTTTATGTATAATCATAATTACATATAATATTCGCAAAAATGTAGACGAATTGATACATTACAACTCTCTATTTTATTAGCATTGTGGCGATAAAATTTAAATAACGCAGCAACCACGAATTAAATCACAACATTTGTTTACACTTGTCACACCTTATCTTTGTTAATCAAATATAGCATCTATGTTGATAAAAATAAAATATATATTAGTATGATGGGCTTTTTATGAGTTTTTACCACTGTCAACTGTTTTTAGATCCAGACAACAAAGATTTGATAGCATGTGGTTTGGCGTGAGACAAAGAAGTCGATGACAGTGGGCAGGTACTAACACTGACTAATCGACACCTTAATCGGGTATGTATTTATGGGAACTTTCATTACTTGTCCAATGAGTCATTACTCGTAGATATTAATATTGCTGTTGCCTGTGGCTGTGTAGAATTGCAACAAAGTTCTAGGACCTGATTTTGCTTGCTTTAAAATTGAATACTAAAGCTTGTTAACAGTTAAGTATTATTATTTAGTTACGCAAGAAATTGTTCCATTAATTATAATAATTTTTTGCAGAATATTATTCATAGCTAGCGAGTCACCATCGTTCTGTTTGAGTTGTCCCTAGTTACTTTAAGATGGGGGGTGGGGGTAGGAGGGTGAAGAAAACTTCACAACCTATTCTCATACCTACCAAATATACGAAAATAAAATGTAACTAAAATCGGTCCAGCCGTTTCGGAGGAGTGCGACCATAAACCCCGTGACACAAAGTATTTATATATTAGATTAGCCACTTGCTTGAAATAATCAGGAGTTTAGAAAAACTCATTCCTAAGAAATCCTGACGTGAACTCAGCAAGATCGATCTTTTTTTAATACGCCTTTAATAACTACATTTTAATCTACGTAAACTAAATTTAAAACTATATACATATGTAACATCCAGATGCTCTACAATAAATTTATGCCTTGATCTGATGATCTAAGAGCTGGATAGTCAAGCTCGTACCGTACTTTACAGTTAATGAAAACGTGTTTTTCTTTTCACTTTTCCTATCTAGCAAGTCACAAGTAAAAGCTATTTTTATACAAAGGAATATATTACAAATAATAAAGTAGTATTTCAATGACGGCCTAGAGATTGTCAGATTCTCTTACTATTTATTACTACATGATTTCCACAAGTGATGAATGCTGAATAAATGATATGTATCGGATAAACAATGTCAATATACGAGTATGTCCACCTGGTTAAAATAAAAACGCACAGATTACAAGCGGTTCTAATCAAACTTATCCCAAAAACAATAAAATTCTCAATACAGAATTTGTTTCCGGCAACGAATTTTACTGAGACTACACAATTGTGGTATCCAGTAAATATTTGTCCGATCTCTATATCTTCTGATTCTTATACTTTAATAAGACAACAATATGACATAACCAGTACAAGATAAGCTGCACTGACAATTTCTGTCAGAAAATCCTAACAATAGTTATACTTCAAAAACCCCAATTATTATTCCTGTCTTAGCCCGGGACTCGATCCTAGATCATCTCAGGATCTGCATACGTGCTTGTCACTAAGGCCACAAAACAGGCCGTATTAAAAATATTATCGTAATTGGTTATTTTTTGCTTACAACACTATTCATTGCTTAAGTCAAAAAAACCAACTAAAAATGTTTATTTATTTTTTTACACTTTCTAGCATCAAAGTATTAATTAAATTGATGGGACTTGAAAGGCAAATAGAATTTGCAGCATAAAAAAAGTATTTTAATGCCCCATTTTTATGCTAGCTAATTAAATATTTTCTGTGAGATATTTCACCCAGAGTAAAGTTACGTTAAAAAATACTATATTTTATTATCACTAAGAATTTAAAAGTTGAATAACTAAACAATTATTTCAATTAATTTACGTAGCTAGAGTAAAAATCCTTTTAATTCCACCTCATTACCTAAAAGGACGTGTAGCGATAAAATCGGCGCGCTTCGCGTAAATCACGCGATCGGTATCGACGATGTCGCAGACATGCAAGCTAGGCCTAATTGTGGAATAGCCTTAGCTATGCTTTGGTTTAACTTTGGATGGCATCGTATGATAAAATATTTATTTGATCTATTGTTAAAAATAATATAAGTTAATAGCAATATGAGTGGCCAGATTGAAGTTTAAAGTCACGAAAAACTGACATGATGTCAGTGTTGATGATGAGAATATTTCGCACTACTGTTATAGATAAAAATAAAATTTTGTGTGTTTGTTTGTTTGTTTTCTTTGTTTGTCTGTTTGTTAATCCTTAATACTAAAACTACTCTTAGTAAACACATAAACTATGACCGGGAGTAAAAAATAGGCTATTCTGAAGCACATACGAATGCATTCCAGCGAAGAGAGTATAAGTCACTGGTTACAAATAATCCTAGATTCATCGAAAAGTCGATTGTTAAGATTTTTATTAAAAAATACACAAAAAACCGTATGTAATAGACAGTTCTATTTAAATTGGACCTATTACTATAAAATTTATTGAGTTCGTGAAATATTAAAAGCTAGGTAAATTCTAAACGCCCAGTTTCACACCGAGTGTGAAAAATCACATTCTCCTGTTAAAAAACGTTTGCGATAATAGATATTGTTTTTGGTATAATATTTATATTTATTGCGATCTTTTTATATGGAGATATTGACCTTTGACGCTTTCTACGATCGAATTCATTCAATGACGTTGTGGGGTGTCCACACATTGGTCGTATGGAATTTCTCGTATTATAATACTAAATATGAGTTTTCTTGATCATAAGTTTGATTCCTGCTTGGGTTACCCCTACTCTTTATCTGTTTTCCCTTCGCACTTCGCGATAATAACACGCAAGAGAAGAGATGCTGTTACGAACGTAACACAATTTTAAACGCCTTTTCATAGACGACGTTCTTTGACGACACGTTTGGCTCAGTTTGTAGTGTAGTGTAGTTTGCTGTGCCAGCGGTCGCGGGTTCGGGTCCCGTTGGGGGCATTCATTTAAGTGATGAGCACGAATGTTTGTACTCCAGTCATGGGTGTTTATATTTATAATATGTATGCATTTAAAGTTATAACTTTATTTATAATATATAATATGTATGTAATTATTATATATAATATGTGTAGTGTATCAACTATCTGGTATCCATAACATAAGCTAAGTAGCTTACCATAGAACTAGATGGTGCTGCGTGTTAATGTCCCAACATATTTATTTATTATTCATTTATTTATAGCTTACTGTCTTCCCTGTACGCTTCTTTGCTTTTGAGCCCAAGCGAAGCGAGGGTGAGTTGCTAGTCTATACTACACTAATATTTTAAATATGAAAGCGTGTTTATTTGTTTGTCTTTCCTTCTCGTCCAAACAGCTTGGCGGATTGGCGTAATTGTTTGTGTGAAAATATTTGGAGGGCTGGAGAGTGACATAGGCTACTTTTTACCGCGGAAGATTATCTCTTTCCCATGAGAAAACACGTTATAATACAATCCAAAAAAATATTTATGATCAGAATTACTTGAAACTTGGTATAAATGCTCTTCAATTAAGTATTTTAGCATTTTTCCAAGTTCATCCAATAATGGGGTAAAATAGCTGATGAAAGTTTGTATGAAACCTACCAATTTAGAGTTTTTTTGTAGTTTTAGCGCGAGCGTAGCAGCGGGTTCTGCTAGTATTTATATAATTGACGAAGAGTATTGACTACTGGACTGAACACATTTTAATGGGACTTTACAGAAAAGTTTTAATAACCCATTTTTTTTGTTATTCAACTTGTTATTCGCTTCGGCACAGCTTTAATTATTTCCAA